CTCACCCTGTTTGTTTGAGCAATGGGGGACAGACATCATCGATCCTTTTCCTAAAACTGTCGGGGGTTATACCTTTCTGGTAACTGCAGTTGATTACTTCACTAAATGGGTCGAGACCGAGCCTCTAAGGACCATCACAGGGTTGGCGGTTCAAAAGTTCTTTTGGAAATGTATTGTTTGCCGTTTCGGCATACCTCAACTCATCATCTCAGACAATGGGAGACAGTTTGCCGAGAACTCATTTAGGATTTGGTACGAGAATCTCGGCATCAAGCAACACTTCACTTCCGTAGGCCACCCCCAGGCTAACGGTCAAGCGGAGAATTTCAACCGAACTTCCTTGCATGGCCTCAGCAGCCGATTACACCGATTTGGATCATCGTGGGTGGAAGAATTGCCCAGTGTCCTGTGGTTATATCGGACTACGCCGAGATCCGCCACACAAGAGACTCATTTCTCCTTGACCTACTAAGCCGAGGCTGTCATCCCTACCGAGATTCTTACACCCAACCCCCGGCTGACAGCTTATGCGGCCGAAGTGAACGAAGAAAAAAGACAGTTGGACCTCGACCTCGTCGACGAAAGAAGGGATATTGCCTCAGCTCGGGTAGCTTCCTACAAGAACACCCTGGCCCAATATTACAATACCCGTGTCAGACACCGTCGACTCCAGCCAGGAGACTTGGTCCTCAGGAAAAACTCAGTCAGCCGAGCTGAAACACAAGGGAAATTGTACTCGAAATGGGAGGGCTCTTACCGAATTATGGAATCTAATCTTAGTGGATATTGTAAACTGAGCTACCGAGATGGCTCACTAGTGCCGAGGACTTGGCACGCCGAGAACCTCAAATTGTATTATGTTTGAACATTTCATCAAGTTATGACTTCAGATGTTTTGTTATTTTTCAACACTTCGGTGTCACACATCCGTTATTAAAAAACAAGGGGGACAAGTAGGGGACGAAGCGAGAAATTAAAAGTGTCGAGATGAGAAAAAATAGACATTTCATTTAATGAAAAGAGGCAATACAAAAAGAATACATGACCGAGATCGGAAGTGCTACTAAGAACCTCCCACCTCGGCGTCCCACCTAAACACCTACGAGTCTATACCCCGGTCTCGGCTCCCTCTTGGGCAGCCTTTTCGCTGGTTTCTTCCCCGTCGGGGTGAATCTCTTCTTCCCCTCCTCCATGCTCTTCGCCGACCTTTTCGCCGACGTCTCCCCCAACTTCTTCTTCTTCATCCTTCTCGAACAGCTCGTCGAGTTCGGACAGCCACTTGTTGAATTCGTTCCGGATTTCGGCCAAGTTCCTTCCAACTTAGAGGCCTTCGGCCATCCGATCGCACAACTCCTTGGAGTTCTCGTTGTAATTGGCATGGTTTCTCAAAAACTCCAAGGTTTCAGAGGAAATGTGAGTTGCGGCCTCGTCTATGGCTGATGTAAAACCAAACATAAAGCTCGGCGTGATCAGTTGGCTGAGGTCCCTGGTGAAGGCCTCAGACTTCCGGAAAGCCTCCACTGCCGAGACTCTAGCGTCTTCGAGGGCTAGTTCATGGGACTTCTTCACCTCGTCCCCCCTCTTCTGCTCTTCCTCGAGAGCCGACCTGAGGCTGTTGATGGTAGTTTCAGTCTCCTCCTCCTTCGTCTCGGCTTGTTGAAGCCGTCGTTGAAGCTCCGCCTTCTCGGATTCAGACACCACCAGTTTTTTCTTAAACTTGGAGATCTGATTTTGCAGTATCGGTGCGCCATCTCGGCCATAAAGGCTGTATTGGAGGCCGTGGTCACCATCACGCTTTGAATCACCTCGACCGGAGTCAGTTTCCTCGTAAACTCCACGTTCCTTGGCAAACTCGACTGCATCACCAACTCTTGTGCTACCCGAGGATGGGTGCACCTATCATTAACCGAAAGGGTCCAGTTCGGACACCAATGCTCATCAGGGTGCGTCTTGTCCTCCCCGAAAAATACCGGAGGGTTATGGAAACGGTTCCATAGTGAGGACCCCGTGATCGCATTGACCGGGGCTTTCAATTGTTTGCTTCGGCCATGAGGGGACGGAAGCGTCGTAGTAACTCCGAGGGGCACCCCCTCTGGCACAGAAGAGGTGGACCCTGTGGTCGCTGCGGCCGAGCTGCTTTGGGCTGCCGTGGTGGGAGTGCCCTGGGCTGCCGAGGTCTTGGTCACCTGCCCTTTTTTTTTCTTTGGTTGAGGCGCCGAGGTCTCACCAGAGTTCTTTCTCTTTGACCTCTTGACCACCTCGGTCGAGCCAGAAGTGATGATGTCGGATAATTTGACCACTGCACAAGAAACAAACATTATTATTTATCATAGCCGAAGTGAAAGGAAAGCCACGAAAGAAAAATTATAAGGTATCTTAAGTTTAGTGGAAAAGAAGGGAGACTTGTCAGGATCAAGTAAGGCTCGGCTAATCCCCCCGTCGACCAGTACGGCTTCGGGGTAGTTCCAACTGTATATCCGAAGTCCTGACCCCATCAGTTTCTGGAAGGCCTCCTCCTCATGGTCCCCCGCAGAAGGGTCGGCTTTTGACTTAATTGGTCTCTACCAAAAACCCCAAGGGAAGTCTACGGCTGGAACGAAGATGAAGTCACGCTTCCAGTTCTTTATCGAAGTGGGAGCACCGACCACAAGTTTCGGGATGGTATTGTTCCGATTGCAAATGTAGAACCACCCCTTATCCGTCCCGTGTGCCTTGACAGTGTAGCATCGGCGGAAGAGGTCCACGGTGGGAGTCACCTCCTGATGTCGGCACAACATCTCAAATCCCACCAAGATGCGAACCGCGTTCGGGGTGAGTTGAGTGATCCTCACGCCGAAGTGACGGAGTATGTCCCTGAGGAATCTCGACGTCGGCATCCTTAGCCCAGTCTCTAGCTATTGGACGTAGATTGCCACCATGCTCTTGGGGGGCTTCTCGGCTGAGTCATTCGGCCCGGGCGTCGTGATGAGATACCCCGGCCGAAAAGGATATTTCCTTATCACTTTCTCGACCCTGTCTCTTCCCATACGACTCCTAAACTTCGGCATCTTGCCGAAATCTATCTTGTCTACGTCCCTTGGAGTGACTGGGTCGTGGGGTATCTCAGTTCCGAACTCGCTATTGTAGACGATCTCGGAACCACCTTCACTCATCTCGGACTATTCGGAATCCGAGGCTGCCTCGCTGGTTCCCACTTCGGCTGACCCCTTCGCAGCACTAGACGTGGATCCTTCTGAGTTGGATGAAGTCGTCACTTCTAAGACGTCCGGCCTCTCCTCGGCCTGGTAGTTCGGTTTCACAGTCTCCTTATGGGTTTTAGTTATTTTGGCCATGTGTGAAAGATGAGATGAAAAGAAAAATACTTACTATTGACTACGAAATCGGATGAAGTGATGACTTCAACTTTGATCTCGACTGACAGAATGAATCTCGGCGACGTTCACGAATTTGCAAACCTGAAGCAAAAAGAGAAAGTGATGGACCAAGCGGTGAAATGGACCTCCTAATTATAAGGGTTTGGGGGAATATGAAGAGGCGGCAAAAATGCGAAATGGCGGCCACGTTCGAATTCAAAACGCCGTATCCTTCTCTCTCTTCATTAATGGCCCGTCCTTTCGACTAACACCCTTTCTACTCACCACGTCCTGTCAACTGACTCGCCTACGTGTCACGCCCTCGCATCTTCCGGAGCAGTTCTAGGACCCCGGCCTTTGATGACTTCGGCACAAGGAAGCCTCAGTACCTCCCTGCCCCGGAGCTCCCGGGGCTTGGGGGGCTTATTGAGGATGTTCACCTCGGCCATTCCCGCACGGCCGAGGTGAACCCATCTCGTCTCTTATACGAGCATAGTCATGTCCTGAGCATGACCCCTGAACTCGGCCGGGTCCCTAGTCTACCGCGTAGGCGGCCTCTGCTCATCAGGTTTCCACCTCAGCTGCACGCTGCTGATGTCAACACATCTGACATCACCCAGGGCCAGTGCTTTATCTGAAAAGTATCGAATGCATTTAATGGCTACTACGTAAGGATCCCCGTCATCCTGCTCAGGCGGCTACAGTGTCAGAGTCAGACTTCCTGACAGGGAACAGAGCCGTAATGCCAGGATGTGGGTCCCACCAGCATGAGTCTCCCCGTCCTACCTTTCACTCTCACTCTATAAATACTCCCCGTGCATTCCCAACAAGTAAGCATACTGTTCACTCATTCATACTACTATTTTTCTCGTTCTCATATTAATTTGATCGTTGGAGTGATCCCAGAGGAGAAGCCCCGCCATCCACTTCGGACAAACAAAGATACACCACCTCGTCTCAGAGAGGACTGATTTAGGTCGGTCTATCTACCCTCCAAAAACCATCTCTTCAAAATGCATTCTTTTCTCTCGTGGTTTCTATATTCTGATAACTCAAATTGACCGCATGGTAGTTAGTCTAGGATTTTAAGGTTTGTTTGGTCTTTTAGTTGTAGTTTAATTGCTCTCCAAGGCCTAAAATTTTTATGATTTCATGTATGAATTCCTAACTTCATTTGTATTTTCATGGAAAATTTCTTACGTTAATCTAGTCGATTTTGACATATTTAGTTTTAAGAAATACTTATTAGACATGTTCTAGTTAAACTTCTAATGTATGTTACGTGCCTAGTAATATTTGCAATTAACACAATTTACGATATATACGTCATATATTTATTTAATTTGTAAAAATTTTTTCTAATATCACAGTAAATAAAAGAAAATATTTTAGAGTATACATTTAATTTCTCGGGTTCTCACAGCTTTTGCCAATACTATATTGTTTCAATAGCCGTTTGCAATGAACTTTACTTGAATTGAAGCTATGTACACAGCCAATTGATTAACAATGATTTATTATGTACTTAATTTGTTATGTTCATGTGAATCAACTACATTTTTGGGTAGATAAGCTAATCAAAATTACTTTTACTTTGATGTTTTGCTCGTCTCCATATTTACAACTTATTTTTCTTCCTTAATGCAGAAAATGGCTATTCATTCAACCTTTTTGGTAGATCAATGAATATTACTGAAATTTCCAACACTAGAGTCCATGCCTTTGACTGACCGACATTGGAGATGAACATGTCTTTTGTTCATGCAGCTCACTTACAAGTTTTCTATTTCTTTATTTCAGTAGTCTTTTGTAAAATGACCTTAATTTGATGTAAAATTTGGGATGCTAGACCCCTTATAGAAACATTTATTTTGCGATGTAAAACTTATATGACATTTGGAGATAATTTGTGGTATATTGGCATGCAGCTTCTAATGCAATTACAACTTTTATTTGTTTTTTAATGGCATGCAAGATATATTATTTTTCATTTTTAGATGTAATTGTAGCAGGAAAATCTTCAAAATTCATGGTGATAAAGTGTTGCCACTGAATCAGAATTCTCCATTGATAACAACCTGTTGTTATAGAATTAAAAAGTGTTTAGTGACAACAAAAGTTGTTAGTAATTGGTCTATACCAATGACAACTATGAATTAGTTTTAGTGACGACATTGCTTTGTACATCATTGACAAGATACTATGTCATCACTAAAAGTACAATAATTATTGACGAAACCAGTTGTCACAAAACAGTCCCATTCACTGACGACTTTTAGAATCGTCACTATGTACTTTTACCAACCAGCCTTTAGTGATGACTCAGTGACAACTAGAAAGTTGTCAATAAAAGTTATCAGTGACGACTTTTTATTTTTTTGTGACAAAAATGGCTTGTCACTGAAGACCAATTTTCTTGTAGTGTGTAGATATATGATAATGACTTTTCGGTAGGGGTGTGCAACGAATTCGAAATCAGTAAATCGAAAGTTTGAAATCAAAATTTTTTGAAATTTTGACATAAAAATTACCGACCGATTTCGAATTCAATTTGGAATCGGACCGAATTCAAAAACCTGTTTTCCCTTTTTTTTTTCTTTTTTTTAATGACTTATCACAAGTCTACCACTTCATACGAGAATACAACCATTCATCACAATACTTATACAACTATTCGTTACAATCTAAAGTTGAAATACAAAACATCAAAATTGTCAAATAATACAAATGCAAGCAACAATTCCAGTCCAAATTTCACACAAATAAAGCAACAACTATTTCAAATAAATCATAAGTGTAAAACAACATTTCAAATTTGCAACTTCCAAGAATGACCTGAAAAAATATTCTATAGTTTCAAGTACTTTTTGAGACCCTCTTTCCTCCTTAATTCCCAAAATCAGAAAAAGAATAAAGAAAAGAAAACAAGCTCTTAGCATATCCTATAGTGGTGAATCCTTGGATTTTTTCTTTTTCTTGACGAAAGTGGAAACTATCAAAGCATTTGAAAGAGAAATCACTCGGATGATTGGCAGATGAGCTTGTTCTGTGTCAGTGAAATTAGTAACATCCGCAATGGCGCAATGCAGTTAGGGAGAGGGCAGAAAATAGATATGTTATCCACAAAGTAAAACGTGATCATTCTTATACGCAACATACTCAAAGCAGTAGTTGGTTAAAACTACATATAACTTGTTCTCATAAATTGACAAGACTAGCTTTTGATCTTCAGGGCTCTTGCCATAGTGCTAGTAAAATAGAGCATACTCAGAAGCTGTTTGATGAAATGCCTAAGAAAAATAAACCAGAAACACAGATTAATAGCAATTATAGCATAGCCCATATTAAGTAAAATCACCCGCATACCTCAATTTGTCCTTGAAGATGAAGGCTGATGATGGCTAGCTAATGATGGCTTGAAGATGAAGACTGTCGGGCTTGAAGATGGCTAGCTTGATGGCTTGAAGATGAAGAATGAGAGTGAGAGACAGTGAAGATGAAAGCTGAGAAAGTAGGAAAGCTGCTCTTAGTTGAGCTCCTTCTCGACTGAAGACTGGCAGACTGGCGGTGGCGGAGGAGGAAGAAAGGTGAGAGACGAATTGACGAAGAGGCGAAAGAGCTTAATAGATTAGGTTTTGCACTTTTGCATTTTTGTCCTTTTTGGAGGTTGTTTTGTAATTTTTGTTAATTGTTAGATGTATTATTGTTATTATGTATATAATATAAATTTTATATTACATATATTGTAAAAAAATATTATATTATATATATAAAACAAATTCGAAATTATATTTCCGATTTCGATTTCCTATTTCGAAATCGGAATTGTCGATTTCAAAAACTATGTTTTCAAATTCGACCAATTTGAAATCGAAATTACCGAATTCCATTTCGAATTATCGAATTTGAAATTTCGAATTCAATTTCGAAATCGGTCGGTAAATCGGAATTTTTCAATTTTGTACACCGCTACTTTTCGGATTATAGGGTAACGCTGAAATTTGGATGCATAAAAAAAATAAAAATGAAGTTATTACATGATATATTGTTACTTCATTGAGACATGCATATGGTCTAAGTTTTTTTTTTTTAGTACAACATTATTACAATTGGAAGAGATTCTGGAAAGGAAACACAGTCAGGGGTAGGGATGGCAACAGGGAGGGGTCCCCCCGCCCCGTTGCCCATTAATTCCCCTCACCCTGGCCCCCGCCTAACCCTGCTTCCCCCACAGGGGCACTCGCGAGGCTAATAAAAATGTGTTATATAATTTTATTATAGTCAAATTGTAGCAAATAATCAAATATTAAAATATCAATATATCACCAAGTTATTATTCATTGTAATTTTACAATTGAAACTCATAAAAATAATCAAACAAAAGTTATTTGAATACAATCTAACATGATGAAACAAATACAACTAAAGTAGTCAATTTTTCACTTTTAACACAAATACAATCACTAAGTCATTATTGTGCTTTTTTTTTTTGAGGAAAAAGTATTATTGTGTTAAGCGTAATTAGAAATTTAGTATAAATGTATTAGTAAATTTAATATAACTAATTAATAATTTCTATTAGTATACATGCATAATTATTAGTATAATTGATAATATTAATTATATTACATATACTAATATACATTATATAATACATATAACTAATAATATCATTATTATAAGTTTATAACTAATTAAATTAAATATTATAGATATATAATTAGATACATACACATATATATTTACACATTATTTTTTTAAGGAGTGACGGGGCAAGGGATGGGACGGGGGTTTACTCTCTCACCCCGTTTCTAAAGGGCTCCGTCCCATTAACTCCCGCGAGCACCCACCCTAATTGCCATCCTTAGTCAGGGAATGCCTAGGGAGGGACTTAGTCCCTCCTCTGGTGGCCGAATGAGCTAGCTAAGTTGGTTATGGTCTAAATTAACCCCTGTATGTATCTTTTGTTTGACTTTTGTATGTAGTTAGGTATTGCTTTTACTTGTAGAAGAGTATGCGGATTTTGTCGTAGTTGGAGGTACTTTACCCAAGTTTGACCTTTTGACTCATCAAATTTGCTACTTTGGAAAAAATAAAAAATAAAATATTATTGCAATGCGCAAGGCACATGCTCCTAACTAGTTAATTAAAAGGATCAGAATACTATCAGAAAGATGATTGTCATGCCATGGTTGTAAAGATACAACTTGAGGTTGAACTTACAAGAAGTCAACCATATGCCAAGATCTGTAGATATTACCAATCAAATGCAAGCCTTACTTTGTTTACAGTGATTGGTTTTTCAAATCAGGCGATGGATCATGGATCATACATGGTTGCCAGCAAGCGAAGACTGTTTGCTCTTGATGCAGTTATTACAACAGTCTCTGTCATGTCTAAATCGTTAGAATCAAGGCCATTTGGAAGTCTCCAGTCAAAATGGTAAAGCAAAAGAGCTAAAGGAAGCTCAACATTGGCCAAACCAAATGCAATTCCTGGGCAAATTCTCCTTCCTGCACCAAATGGTAGATACTCAAAGTGACTTCCATTGAAATCAATGGAGCTGTTTTCAAATCTCTCTGGTTTGAAAGATTCTGCATCATCCCAATACTCGGGGTCTCTTCCGATTGCCCAAGCATTAACCAAGACTCTTGTTTTGAAAGGGATAATATATCCATCGATTTCACATTCCTCCCTACACTCTCTTGGAACCAACAAAGGGACTGGAGGGTGTAACCTTAGAGTTTCTTTAATCACTAACTTCAGGTATTGCAGTTGTTGTTGAACATCAATTTCTTCAATTGTGTTTTTTCCTCTGAAAACTTTCCTTATTTCACTCTGTGCCTTAGTCATCACACCTGGATTTCTGATCATCTCGGACATCGCCCACTCCACTGTTGCGGATGAAGTTTCAGTTCCCCCTGTAAACACATCCTGCATCAAAGTCAATGCCAAAATTATTTGTAAGAGACTAAAAGATGTAATGGTAGTAAGCAAAAAATTGGTTAAACACTTACAGAAAGAACAGCTTTGATATTGTCCTTGGTAAGTGGGATTTGAAGCTCACCGCTATCTTTAACTCTTAGCAGGACATCAATTATGTCTTCATTGTCCGATGCACCTGTTGCTATTTTTGTTCTTGCTAAGTTGTCCATATGCTGATCAATTATTTTGTCCAGAACTTTATCTAGCTTATAGCGGATATTTATCATTTTATTCTTCACCGAAAGGAAGGGATGAAGAATCTTGAACGATGGTAACAGATCAGAAACATCGAAGGCGCTTGCTATGGAAGATGATTCCTTGATTAGCTGAAAGAATGCAAAATGATCGTCTTTGCTTACTTTGCCGAATGCTGCTCTGTAGAGAACCGAACTTGTGTATGAAGACATCTTTTCCGTTAAATCAATTGATTTTCCAGCTTTAGCCAGAGCCTTAATCGATGAGACAAGATGCAAAGCCTCATCTTGCCGAATAGATCCAAATGATCGGACACTTTTAGTACTAAGGAGTTCCAAGGTGCATATTTTGCGCATTTGTCTCCAGTAGTCACCATATGGACAGCATGCGATGTCCGAACAATTATACAACAAAATCTTTCCTGCTAGACTTTCTCCACGATTTGCAAAGGCAAGATCATGAGTTTTCATAATCTCTTTTGCTAAGCGGGGCGATGTTACCACAATCGAAGAAATTTCACCTAGCTGAATGTGCATCAGAGGTCCATATTTTTGAGCTAATTTTCTGAGAGCATGATGCGGTGGAGAACCTAACAAATGATGCATATGTCCTATAATAGGTAGTTTCCATGGGGATGGTGGTAGTTTCTGGGCTGTTTTTGATCTCTTCAATACCTTGATGAAAGTTAAAACAAAGGCTATGAACAGAAAGAAAGCAGTGAAGTTGAAGGGTAAATCCATTCTTTGGCTCTCTTGCTCTCTTTGCAGTTT